TTTCTTTCTTTCTTTCTTTCTTTCTTTCTTTCTTTCTTTCTTTCTTTCTTTCTTTCTTTCTTTCTCTCTCTCACTCCCCACAATGAGAAAATGCTTTCTCCCTCCCCCTTATTTGAAACATTTGAAGCAATTATCCCCTTAGGCTGTTGAATAATATTATGCCTGCGTTAATGTAATTCATAGCCCCAAACAATATGACGACTGAAATGAACTGAAAAATAACGTCTATTAAACAGCATATGACACAGTTTGGTGGAATTTTGTAAGGATTTTTAATAATGCACTCTACATATTTTCACAGTGGACTTTTTAAGTTTTCTCTGCCATTTTGGCATGTTGGCATGAAGCAGACCAAAATATGCCATGTGACATTTCTAAAATAACATGTGTGCTTTGATCAGCCTAAGTACAGGATATTCAGTTGGCTTCATTGTACTTGTAATATAGAGTACCCATCTGCCCCCAGATGTCATCCTTTAGGCCTTACCATGGTATCTGAAACCATTATAAAATCACTTTGGTAACTGAAACACTATTAGAATGTGTGTGTGTGTGTGTGTGTGTGTGCGCGCGCGCACGCATGTAATGAGCAGTGCAAAAAGGCATTGCACTAGTTATTTATATACTTACATAAAATCAATAGATGTCAGAGGAAAATAAAACAATGAAGATTACCTGGGATGATCTAAATATGTTGCGGGATATTCCAAGGGAATTGGATATTTAGGAAAGGAATAGACAAATTCTTTAATAAAGCTGGAAAGGAAAGTTTATTCAAAAGCAGAAAAAAGAAAGTTCCCTCCGAAGAAAAATTATCATTTTTTCCCCTCAATCTTGCTAACTACCTTTCAGGAAAGGATTTGGGTATATCTGCCCACAAAATAAATGTGTGTCCTCAAATAATTTCTTAAATTTTGCAGAAAATCAAATTTATTATGTTTCTTGTTAGGAAAATAAACAAGTATACTCATTTCATCAGATTCCCTACAAACATTCCTGAGCGGGTCCAGTGCAGAATAATATTACACTCCAGGAATATCAGGATATATGCATTTTTATGGAAAACAATGTATTGCATGCTAAGAAATTTCTTGAATAAATGACTTTGTTTATGAAAATATTTAGTTGCCCATTTCTTTGTACAAGTAAGTCCTGCTGGCTGTAGGTGGGACATGTGGACAGTATGTGAATAATGATCTTTCTAGGAGATTAATTGCTCCAGTTCACTAAAAGTATTTGTTTACAAGTTTAAGCAGTCAGAAATCTGGCATGGCAGCCCTTTCTCTTGCTGTCAAGGCCCTCAGAGCCTCACTGGAACAAGAAACATCACATATAGTAAGAGAATTGCTAAAGGCTATGAAATGCTTCCAGCATACCCCATCTTTCAGAGAACAATTGATATATTAGACATAATAAATATTACATAACCTTCAGTATTTTGGCAGTGGAAGTTGAAGCTGAGAACTTTCACTTTTTTCATTATTAATTTTTTTTTTAACCCTGGAATTTCCAACTTCACATAGCTTGACGATGTATTCAAATCATAAGAACGAAGAGGGAAGATTCTGTAGATTCTCTAAGAAAACATGAATTCTGATATATGCTATGCATCATTCACATAAAAAATAAGAAAAGATTCTGTTTACGAATGATGATAAGCATCGCCAGCTTTCACATTTTCTCCCAGTGCTCAGTGCAATTTTTTTCTCCTAAACAAGTTTCTGCTGCAGCGACTCCCTCTAGCAGCCCCCTGAACCGAGGAAAGGGAACAGAACACCAGACATCCTTTCCAGTAAACAAATGGTAGGGAGCAGGAGGAAAGTTTGGCTAGGAAGATCAAAAGGAGCGGGGATATTATTTGGAGTGGTTGGATGGATTCATTCTATTCCCTAGTCCCTTCTCCACCCGCCTCCCCAGCCTCTCCTCTCAGTGCTCCACTGCCCCCACCCTCCGCCCCTTCTTCCTGCCAGAGCTGTGCCAGCAGCGATCTTTAGAGCGCACAGAAACGGCAGTCCCAGCGAAGGCAAAAGCTCTTGCCACGCCAAAAGCATTTAGTTTCTTCAGGACCGGTGGTGAATGGATTGTGAAGTCCAATGAAGTCCACGTTGGTCATAAGCCTGGATTTTGTCGCCTCGATTGCCTCAGCTGACCCTACCAGAAGCCCAGTCAAAGGGGCGGCCCCGCACCTCTCAGGGAGTTGATATGCAAAATAGTTACGTCAGATGATGGGGGCGGGGCGCGCCCGGGTTGAGTGGCAGCAGCTTTTGCTGTGGGAGGAGGCGCGAGAATCAGCCTGGTTCAGTGACTGAGACAAACTGGAGGTGAGAGGAGCTGGTGCTGTCCACTGGGCTGTCGGTGCTGAACCTGGGACGCGAGCGGACGGGGTGCTTCAGCACCTCGAGGCAACGCCCTCTTGCACTCTCTGTGCCCTGCGGGACCCGCTTCACCAGCAGGACCATATCAACTTGACAAAGGAGTGTGGTATCGGACGTGGGAGAGAGTCCTCTTTTTGCCACCTGGGCGCCCATTCAAGCGTGACTTTGGAGATTTCTATAGTTTTAGACCAAACTATTTTCCTCTTTTCCCAGCTAAAACAATCTTTTAGGTTTTTTTTTTTTTTTTTTTTTTAACTATTATTATTACTGTGATTTCTATACCTACACCATTTAAGAATCTTTCTGGGAGACTTTTTTGACTCTTAAAATAAGGTAAGATAAAGAATATGTTATAAATTATTACAAAGGGGGGAGGAATGCAGAGTGCCATACAAAAATTTAAAAGCAAGTTACGATTTTTCTAATCTGAAACAGGACTTTTGGCAATGATTGCAACAATTATCTTAATAATTGCTATTATTATTTTTATTACAAACACATCTATTGGTGATTAAGCACTGAATTCTACAGGGGAAGTTGAGGGTTTGGGTTTTTTTGCGAAGTTAATGTCATCAGGTTACATTCTGCTTTATAAATATAAATATTTGTAGAGCAACACTTCCAGCATGGCTCAAGAAACAAGAACCATTCAATGCAAGCCCCAAATATGTTAGTAAATTGCAGTAAATAAATCAACCAACAAGTTGTTTAAAGCAAATGCAATCTTGAAGAAATATTTGAGTGAACTAATCTCTGATTAATCAATATTACCTCTGGTATCTACAGCATAGACTGCAAAGTACAGAGCTCTCTTAACATTTTTGGAGGGGAGGTGGTAAGGATAAGAGCATTCATATCCTGCTGGGTTCATTTAGATGTGTTGTTATGCAGTAGATCCAAATAAAACTTGTGAAACTCAGTCTCTGAGAATTCTGCACCCCAAGGTCATGTGTATTTCCAAGTTGGGGCTGTTTGTCCTGCTATTGAATAGTAAATGTCATCCCCTCTCCACCCCCTCAGGTTAGAGGTGGATGTAAATGGGAAGCTCTGATTTAATAATACAGTATTAGCTTGTATTATAGTCGCTACTGCTGTTGGTAATTGAATGGAACTGGGAAGCGTGGGCTGAGAAAATGTCTCGCTATTTCAGAAATGTTTAACCTCTTGCATGTTTAACAGAGAGCTTTTCTCTACTTAGGAGATTTTCTTTTGAAGCTGTGTTCCTTTTGTCAATTGGTAGTGTGTTTTGAGTGGGTATGAAGAAAGAATTCAGTACAGAAAACCACTGAACAGTACTTCTTATAGTGAACAATATTTAAATGATAGAAGTTAACTCGTGCTCTGTGTATTTGTTATCACTATTCATGACTTTCTATGTAAGGCATATTGTTTATCTGATAAGTAGAATTATGATTTTTCATTTATCTCTTTTAGTGACATTTGATTAAGGATAAATGATGGCTGGAAAAACAGAGAGGGGAGGGTTTACATTCCAGGGAAAGATTGCAACTAGACATCCTATCTTAATAGGAATGTGTAAAATATAAGCTGTTTAAGACTTACTAAGTATCATTCAACTGACCAGGGCTATGTTTTTCAGCAAATAAAGAGTATACTAAGTTAACTTTATATATTTGTATATTTTTAATTACGGTAAATGTTTCTTTTCTAGTGGCATTACACTTACGAGTATGAACTTTAGCTTTAAAGTTAATTATTTAAAATAATTTTTCTGCATAGAGATTTTTCATTTTATTTACAGCACACTAGTACATCAGAGTGATTGTTGCAAGAAATGGATATTATTGCAAACACTAGAGGTTAAATATAAATCCCCTTAAGTTGTTCTCATGTTTTACCCCAATAAGATTGTTCTTTGTAGGATTCCTGTCAGTCATGTGATCTTACATTAAATATTGATACAAAATTTTTTAAAGACTAAGCAGGTAGAGAAGCAAAGGAGGGAATATATGAAATACTGGGCCATGAAGCTCCCACTAAACAGCCTCCTTTAAATTAATATATAATAATTTTTTTCTTCTATGCATTTTAAAATTTTCTTTTTAAAACTAGTTATATGGGTATACATGCTCAAAGTATGGAATTTCAAACAGAATTATGGCTTCTTTTAATGTCAGTTTCCTTTTCTTTGTCATATGGAAACAACAATATATATTGTAATTTTATAACTTACTTGAAATGCAATAACAGAAATAAACACTATGTTCACCTAAATGTATTTTAGTATCTCATTGACTTCTTTTTGCATAGTTTTCCAAGATGTATGGCTTCCTTTGAGTATAAACAGTTCTCTTGAACTACCAGTATCTGAAATTCTTTCAGGTGAAGTCACAGTGAGATGGTTAAATACTAAAATCAAAATATGCTATTGGAAATTGTGAAACTAAGGAGGCAGTTTCGATGAGATTGCAAATTTAAAATATTAGATACATTTTTCCTGATTTTTTTAAACCTATTTAGCTCTTATATATTAGTTCTGAAGTAAGGTAAAATTAGGTGACCACAATAAACCCAAACTTAGCATATAGGGTATACTATTTGGATGTAGAATACGTTTCTTACTGTAAACAAATAAAATAGCCAAATTGGAAGATACCTATTAAAGACAGTCAAATGTGGTGTCCCTTCATAAATTTTTTGCTTCACAAAGAAAATGACCATATTTTGGAGTTATAACTTGTCCATGTGGAATTCAAAGGAATATTCAATACCACAGTAGATAGCCTCCTAAAAAATGAATTCATTTCATTGCTAAGTACTACAAGTATATACAGAACTTTTTACTTCAAGATGATAAAGTTTACAAAGTGTATAGAAAGATTATTGAAATAATTAATTATATGTCACATGACATACTCTAGTTGCCTTAATTGCTTCTCAGTTTCTTAAAGCACATTGATCTAGTAAAAAATTTAAAAATGGTATTGCTAGACAGATTTTTTTCTTACAGATAAGATGAAATAAGTATGCATTTTTGGTTATATTTAAGGCCAAGATGAAACGATTTGGGTTTTCTGTTATCAAGGCTATATATTGCTTTCTTTTTTAAAATCTATTTACTAACGTGTACAATGGAGAATTAAAAAAATTAATAATAAACCTGAAATACACTAAAAAGTTTTAGGAAATTGACTTTTTAAAAGTAACTTTTAAAATTATATTTAAAAGATTATGGAAGTAATAGTTTATTGAGAATTGTCTTTGAATAATGACAATTTTTCATGTTTAATGCTTGTTTATTGATGAGACCAAAACACCTTCAATAATATGTTTCTATTAGTTCTGCTCCAAATCTCCAAATCTGCTTCTGGCATTTTTATTACTTAATGTATTATAAAGTTCTAAAGATTCTTTGGAACTAATAGGTCAGAAAAAATACTTCCTGTTGTTAACATTATTGCAACACCCATGTGACCAATTATCTTTTACCAAACAGACTTAATCATCTTCTGCTTCAACACCTCCAGTGTCTTTTGGGCATAGACTAGTTAAGGTGAGCTGTAGGGACCCTTGTGGAAAATCCTAATTTTCCCATGAAATTGGTCATCACACCATGCAACAGAACAATTGGTCCCTTTGTGCTTTAATCACCCTGGCATTGAGGAAGTTAATATTATTATAGTAAATGAGATAGTGTTTTTGATAAATTCAGAATTTCACTGAGTCTTAGTATGGGTTTTTTAAAGAGAAGGAGTTAAACAATAGTATAAGTGCATGATATAATGAGTGTATATGTGTGTACATTGTGTGTGTGTGTGTATACATATATATTTCTTAGTAAATTAGGCTCTACCATAAACATGCAATGGGAATGATCTTGAACATTCAAGTTCAAGAAATGTTACTTAATACAAAAATAATTTACATAGCAAGCTGAAATACAGTATATACTTTTAGTGGCAAATGTGTTCATTCTGTTATTGTTTTTGCTATTTAGGCTGTTATGCTTTAGCACACACCAGTTTTTTGCCATGAAAATGTCACTCATAAGTTCTCATGCTGATTGGCAAGGGAAGGGACAATTGGAAATGAAAATTCTCCAGGAATAAGAAGCAGAATGGATGTGTCCATAATGAGGAGTTTATATTACCACACTGATTCTGAAAAAAAAATATGAGTGCTGATAAGGATTTGAAAGTTTCTATCTCTAAAAGAGATACATCAGGTTTACTTCCTATATCTCTGGGTAATAGGCCATGCACTTCTAAGGGATAGAGTTTGGAGATCCCTATACCTAAGATATTTTTATTCTTTGTATATCAATGTTACATGCATAGATGTGTTAAAATGTGAGAAGAAGAGCCACTTAACTCTGAACTTTCTTGCTTTAAAACCAAATAATTAATATTAATTTAATGTGGCTTTTAGTATCACATTATGTAAATCTCGGAAGCAAAGTAGTTGCTTAGTGAGTTCATTTGCATGTCAATACAGAGAATATTATTCCAACTCGTAACACTGGTTCATAACACTGCTAGAAGTTCTAAAACACAATGCAAAGGATTTGAAAATACTTTTTTTCATTCAGTTTTATTTAAATATACCATTGTAATTGACAGTTAAGAGAAGCTTACTTTAGTGATATATTTTTTCTGTGTAAGTAGCACTAAGGTAGCAATTAAAACATACATACAGTAGCAATTAGAACATACAAACCTGAACTGTGTTCCCCAAAGATGATGATGAAATGGAAATAATTTGCCTTTTGTGATTGGACCACTTCCACAATACACATTAGGTAGTGTTTTAATGACCATCAAGGCTTTATTTTTTCTAATTTCTAAAACCCTTACAGATTTTTTACTAACATGATGTGACAAATGGACAAATGCCCCCATGTACTCTGTAGGTATGTGCCCCCTTTTTCAGAGCTACAGTAATTGCTGTGATCCTGACATCAACCAGAGTCTGAACCGCCTCATTTAGGATTGAGGAGGGGGTCCCATTCATCCTTCCAAAGAAAGAGAGAGAGTGATTTGCTTCTAGTATACACATCTTCTGTCTCGTGGCAAATTACCTATTGATATTTGAGCAAAAAGTCTTTGAGCCTGGATTTTCTTATATAAGAAGACAGAAAAGGATATCATTCAAAGGGTTAATATGTGTAGACATATATTTTATGCATATATATGTACGCATGTTTTACTCAGGCCATTTTATCTAGGTCATTTAACATGTGTATAACTGTGAAAAAAATTCATGGTACCTTCATTTTAGATAGGAGAAAGCAGAAACTCGGATGAAAGTTGTCCACCTCTCCAGCATGTGCTCACACAACCAGGAATAGGTGGATTAGACAATCAAACCCAGCT